TAAGTATTGCATTACTATCACAGAAATATATCAGATGAGCAGTTTTGTTTTTTTAAGGCACACATGATTGAATCAAGCTTTTGCAGGTACAATTAGTATGTCAAGCTGAATTGCAACTTGGCATTGTGCATGTTAGTGGCTCAGCCTAGCTAACAAAAATGGCTATATTTAACTTATCCCCAGTTAAAATGGGCTCATACATGTTTGTGTAGTTGAACTGAGACATAAGTTATCCAAAATATTTGCTTTTCAAGTAAGAGAATTATCAGGCTTTGCCTTTTTAAAAAGACACATGTAATACAAAACTGCTTGAAAAAGTAAAGTTTTGGCCCTCTACATGGAAGGATGTTCATTTATGTTGAGAACTGTTATGTTAGAGCTATGAATAAAAGTGATTTTTTCCCCGTTATTCTAGAATTCCTCTACAGGAAGAATTAATATTGAGTTGTTCAAAAATGCACAGTGGCTCCCCCTCTAAAGGTAAAGAAACTCACATCTAACAGTGGATTTTTGTTCCCAGTTTTTTGCAGAATTGCACCTACTTAGTAATACAAGCATTTTTAATGCAAATAATCTGCTGTGTCTCATGAGCTGCACGTAGCACATCATCTCACAGGTGCTGCTCTTACAGTTCAGTCTCAGTTTGTATCTTGCTGGGAAAAACAGTAGTATATTCATACTCCTCTGTCCCAATGAAGACACCCAAAGGAGTTTGCTACAGCGTACTTTAAAACAGCAAGCAGGGAGGTCTGCACAAAAATAAATAAATAAATGAATCAAAACTGCCATCTAGTGTTAGCTTTAAGTAGGCAAAGAGGCCACATAGCACAAATATGGCAACTGGTTACACTGTAATAAGCTGTGATAACATGAGGAAGCAAGAGATAACTCTAGCTGTACAAGGCTGAACTTAGCTTATTTTGAGCACCAGGGATATCCGCCATTTTTGTTCATTCACACCGAGTAAACGAATACTGAGCCAGTGCTCACATGGCTGTGGGAAGACAAATAAATAAATAAATAAATAAATCTACCCTACCAGGAGGTAGCTGATCTTCCAACAAGTTCTTTTAAAATACAGTATCTGTTTCTAATTGTGTGGCTAGAAGATAAATGCAGAGGTATAGGACAACATACCAACACCAGCCTGACTCTTAATATTGTTTAAACACTATCAAGAAGATGCTTCTGTTCTGTTCTCAACTGGGAAAACTATCAAAAACTAATGTCACTGTAGCTGAAAGCATCTTAACTTGGAAGACTGTTTTCATCCTTAGCTATTAGAAGATAAGCAATAAATCTTTTTTGTTGGTTTGAAACAGTTCTTATTGAAGAAGCAAGATACAGATTTCTTGTAATGGAGTATAGAAAGCATAAAAGCCTTGAAAAACAAAGTGTCAAAATTTAATTTCAAGTAAATAATTATGCAAAGTACTTATTTTTAATAAGAATCAGCAAAAGTTTGTTCCCAAAAGACACAAGCACATTTGGTAGATGCAATTATCATTTATTCCCATTAAGAAGGATATTTGCCCTTCACAAACTTGGAATGTCTTTTTTTTTTTTTTTTAAATTAAGCTATAGTGAAATTTAACTTCTATGAAAAAGCTTGCAGGGAGACATTCATTTGCAGATGATTTATAAATGTTAGCACATTACTTCAGAAAAGTGTAATTTTCTTCTTTCTGAGTGTTCACTCTCTTAGGTGATCTCTTCCACACAAACAAAATGTGGGTTCCAACACTAATCTGT